GAATTCGAATAATTGTGATGACATTATTTTATGAACTCATTTTTAATATTCTTTTGAAATGAATCTGGAATCCACTTAACAATAGTCATTTTCTAGAGAGATTCTATTCTGAACGTCTGAGGTCCCACAATTTACTTCGAGTTCAAGTCAAATCTATCTTAGAGTTCTTAAAAAACGGTCTATTGGTATTTTTCTCTGAAAAAACATTGTTGCTATCTGCAGAATTCATCCTAAAATCTTTTCAAAATTCTCATAACATTTAGTTCATTAAAGTGACTGTATCCTCAAAAAATTTTCCAGTCCAGGGGTCTTGCAATTGTTCAAAGGTCCAGAATCTTATTTTTCCCGGTTTGTCATCGAAATTCACTGGCTTTTCCCGATTTTTTCCCGGCGATTTCGAATTCGTGACTTTTTCCCAAATTCCTGGTTCACTGTATAATAAATAAATAATATTTTTTTGCGACAAATCTATGGGATCGGTAAACCATTGTTTGTTTTATTTTAAAGAAGTATGAAAAATGCTCAGGATGTGTGGTTATGAGTTTATAAAATTTCTCGAAGTTGGTCGCAGTCAACGACATATTATAATCTTTTTTTCTGATTAATAAATGTCACTATTAGTCACTTTTTTATTGCTTTAAAGTCACTAATTGGTCACTATTTTCGTTATTTTAGTCACTAAAGTCACTACTATTATATTACTTATCCACTACCAGCCCTGAGATTATCAAAAACTTCTTGTCGGGCAGATCATTCCAGGTCTATTTGAACAATGTCATCTCTGATACGTTCAACGTTGATGCAGGGGTCCCTCAGGGTAGCCTGCTTGGGCCTATCCTGTTCAACATTTTCACGTCAGACGTTCCTCCCCTGCCGGGTGGTGGGATCCTGTCAATGTTCGCAGATGATACATCCATCATGGATGTTCTGTCAGACTATTTCAAGAGCTGGAAGATTTGTATCAATGCAGCTAAAACACAAACCATTCTGTTTCCACACTCGTATTCACCTCGGCTTGTTCCGCCTGCTAACGCCTAGATCCATCTTGATAGCAGTCCCATTGAATGGTTGAGTGAAGTAGTCTACCTTGGTCTCACCCTCGATAGCAAATTGCTATTCCGATCCCATGTGTAACATCTTGATCAGGTCTCGTAATTCTGACATTCACCACCTGGCCGGTTTTCAAACACTCGTGGAGCGAAAGACGTCCACGCTGGAAAGGTTCTGAGTTGCCTGTCTGCGATCAAACTACCAGATCATTCTTGATTTGGCAACCTAGTTCAAGTCGTTAGGTAGGTTCCTGTGCTCAAGTAGGTAGGTTATCAAATTTTTAAATTCAAATGAAAACAAGCCCTTAAAAGGGTGTCCTGTAAATTAGCGCTAATCACAATCATCATTTTAGAATAACCAAATAACTAGAACAAAGATGAAGAGCCAAAGGCTAACCAATTGAAATGTTAAACCAAATGTTGAAACATACAAAACCAGCAAATAAACGATATGGATGTTTTCCCAAAAAATTATGGAACTCTTCCAGATATACAAAGGGGAAAAGTTGGCTTCGGCAATACCTTAACCTATTATCGTCAGGGGGGTCATCGTCCTTGAGAGCTCAATTTTGGCATGTGGATACATTGTGTTTCAGAGCAACTATTGTCCAAATTTGATTGCTCTAGGACTTTGTTTACCCCCTGACGATAATAGGTTAAGGTATTGCCGAAGCCAACTTTTCCCCTATATGATTATGCTTTGAACATGTCTTTCTAGGCCGTCTTATTTCGCTTACTTCAATTACATGTACAGCTCGGGCAGTGCCGGTGAAGTAGTGGTAAGAGTGACTGCCTCGTACTCCAAAGGGCCTGGCCCAAGTAGCACAATTCTGTCCCAAAAAGTTGCAGCAACTTGTTTATAACTGAAATAAGTCGTCTATAAGTTTTCAAGACCAATTTATAACAAGGGTGCTACTAGGGGGGTTCAATCCCAGTCGGCGCCGTTGAATTTCCATTGAATTCACCCGAGCTTCCTCTTAAAGTCCGTCTTACTTACTTAAAAAGATCTTCACTCTGTCTCAAATACCTTTAAAGAATTGTAAAGATTGGAAAAGGTTTAGAAGAATTGAAGTTTGTATGGACGAATTGGGGAATTACTATGGGAAATTATTAACTTTGGTTATAGTTGCCCATACAATAACAAAAAATTTGATATGTGGTTGTCATGACTATGCTATAATCCTATTCTTATTATGAGGAAATTGGTGCTGTTGTATTGCACATTTTCATCAATCAACCTACCCTATTTTGTATTTTTTTTCGCATTTCTACACCCAACCGCGGGATGTAAGATTCGCTTACCATTATGTGGGATTCTTCATCAGAGGATGTTAGTGGAGACCGCATGAACCGGGGATGCGATATACCTAGCTGCGGTGCATTGCAAGAAAATGGAATAAGAAAAACCCGAATTTATCCACCTATGGTGTGATCAGACCCTTCTTACTTATTCAAGTTTATTTATTTTATTGTCATTATCAGTGACCAAGCCCCCCACCCCCGTGTCATCCAGTGACGCTACGCCACTGCCTGGGGGTACCCGGAGTATATCCGGGTGTAGTCTATTTGGTGAGGCTATCAATCACCTTATCATCGTATTTTAATGTGATTTAATGGGTTTTAATTCAATTCATATTCAAGCAACTTCCCCGGGGTACCCGGAACATGTCCAAGTGTGTCCAATGTGATCTGGAACACTTAACACGACTTGCATTGATCTTATTTTTGAATTCTGTAGTAATTTGATGTGTCGCATGATGGTTTTGATACGTTTTCCGTTAAATCCAGCGTGAAGGCCCATATTCACCGGATCTTATTCCGACCATATCTCCGGAACCGGTTCACCGATTCCAAAACCGTTCAATAGCGTTCAATGGGACCCCAAGACCTATCATTTGGCGCCGAGTTTGTCCAAATCAGTTGAGCGGTTGCTGAGAAACGTGAGTGCATTCATTTCGTTACATACACACACACATACACACATACACACGTACACACATACACACACACACACACACACACACACACACACACACACACACACACACACACACACACACACACACACACACACACACACACACACACACACACACACACACACACACACACACACACACACACACACACACACACACACACACACACACACACACACACACACACACACACACACACACACACACACACACACACACACACACACACACACACACACACACACACACACACACACACACACACACACACACACACACACACAGACATGTTCCGACCTCGTCGAGCTGAGTCGAATGATATATGACACTCGGCCCTCCGGGCCTCGGATCGATAGTCGGTTTTTCAAATGATATCTATACCCTTCTTTGTAAGAAGGGTAAAAATGTGGTGTTTTTTTTTTGATTTATTTAATTATAGGCTCAACCGAATTAACTTTACAGAGCCGAGGATTCTTGTTCACTATATAATACATCTTAAAACTATAGTTAAAAGGTACAACACAATAAACATTTTATTTTCCGCTATCCAATAAGCCTCCTCTACCAGAACGGGAGCCTCATCCAGTGGTTTACTTGTATGGCAGATTCGCCAATGAAGGTCAGAGCACTTCAATTGTAACAATGGATGCAAAACGTGGGGGGCACTCACACATTCATCACGAAACGGTTGCTTTGCAAAGTCGACGACGCATCGACTGAAAGAACTGCTGATGAAGAACAATGAGGAGGACCACACAATGGTTGCTGCCGAGTAAACAGACGATCGCGTGACACACATTGAGAGTGGTCTGCTTCTGTCGACAGCCGAGTGAACACTGAAAAAAAAATGTGGTGTGTATTAGTGAATGAAATGAATCATGTCGAAAAAAAGGTTGCCATTCTGAAATGGATAGCTTAAAAGCAAACAAGAAGCGCTCATTTTCTCTCATACTCGACTTCGTATGCTTTTTCTGCTGAAGAAATTCGAGGCAAATGTTTGCATCGTTCTACAATGTTATAAATAAAAAGCTTACTGGTATAGTCGAAAGCGTAGATAGAATACAAAATAAAAAAGACAAAAAAAAAACATTACATCGCCTGCAAGGTCAACTTCTAACATTCGCTGCGACGTTCATGAACAGAGGATGATAGGAAATAGAACTAACATTCATTGTAATAAATTTTTGGTTTGCGTATATCTCTTTTAGAATGCTGTAAAACTGATCTTAACAACAACAGGCTTTTTGGTCATTGTCATAGCAACCAACATTTTTTTTCAACTCTTGGACCACTAGAATCAATGTGATTTCAAAAATCCATAGTAATTCCCGTACAGATTTTAAACCATTCGCACAACCTCTAAACCTTCATCAATCTTTACCATTTTTGCACAGGCTCATATTTTGGGGATATGAATCGAACTGGAAGAAATTTCACACTTTTGAAAAATGAAGCACCCTACTCTGCACATCTTCCATCCCTCCTCCTGCACACGCCAGCGACTGGGTTCGTCTGACGAGTTTGTTCAACACATGGTCCAAGTTGCACACATTGCAATGCTTCTTATCTTGCTGGATACTCAGGCTGCTGTGGTTAAGTCCGACGAAATAGTTCAGCTATACACGTTAGGCTATAGTGGTCGTGGCGTGTCTTTGGCACACGGAAGGCAAGTGATAGCCAATAAGTAAAAAGTTGGCTCATTAATATAATCGTTTCCTCTGGGGCGCGAGCAATGGAGCTGGTAGTAGTCACTTTTTTTTTTGCTGATTGCACCACGACGATAGGAGCTGGTTGGATGGTTGGCTGTTTGGTTCAGTGCAAAATCTCGTGAGAAATGTGATTGAACAAGCTATAATGGCTTCTGCACATCTGGGTGCTGGCTGCTGGAAAATCGTCCCAGGCAAATTTCCATCACTATTATTTGTAAAGCTCCAATAACATTTCCATTTTTTTGTTTTACGTATCGTTTCAGAAATGGGTTTCTTGGTTAATCGCAGTCGGATACTGGATTTACGGTGGTCATTAGCGCTATCCTTGGTCGTGTGGGCCACTTTGGTGCGAGGGGATGGATTTAAGCTGCCAGATCAGACGGATACTGCCGTAGGCAAGTCGGTGGTCGATGGTCCAGCCTTGCTGCCGGCCACCGGTGAGGGTCGTCGCCAGGGAAAACATCTGCTGGACTTTATCGGACTTGGAACCGGTGGCAACGTGGATCCCTACCTAGCACGAACCAACGCTCAGTGTCTGAATGGAGAACTGGCCGATTGTTTCAAATCACAGGCTCTGAACACGTTTACCGAATTTTTCTCGAAGGATGTGTACCAGTAAGTGTTTATAGATCTACTGCCTCAATGGACCAAAATTGCTTACCAATCCACTTTCTTTTAGACTAACATCCGACGCCCGAATTACGCGAATGCCGGAATCTCAACTCCGCTCCCTCCATCAAGATCCCTTCGAATACTCGGAAGAACCTCGCCAGCTGGACTCTGAGTGGGACCAGCTGTACAAGTTCGCTCTCCGTCAGCTGGAGCGGTTTGTCAAATCCACAGGCCTTGATTTCCAAATTCCCGACGAAGTCACCGAAGGTGGTCGCTACCAGGCCCGCTTCATTGACGAAATCTCCGACGAAATTGACGTCATCGAAGACAAGAAAGCTCCACTGTTCACCCGCCATCGACTGAAGAAGATCTTCATCCCCCTGCTCGTCATTCTGAAAATCTTCAAGCTTAAGTTGCTGCTATTCCTGCCACTGATCCTCGGCCTCGTCAGCTTTAAGAAACTGCTTGGATTCGCTGCTATCATCATCCCCGGTGTCATCGGGTACCTCAAACTGTTCCGAGCGAACCAGAGCTGCTGCTCAAATGACATGTTCTCCAACAACTATCAACCGCAATACTCTCCGCAGGGGCTCGGATCCGTCAGCTATAATCCGTTCAAACCCTACCAGAACCAGTATTCTCGACCGGAACCCGGCTTTGCCGCTCCATACGGAAACTATTACCGAGACAGCCATGAGCTGAAAGGAGGTGGAGTCAAATTCGGAGACGAGCAAGCCTACCAGGGATACTCCGAGTACCGAAGCAGCGATAAGGACGTCAAGGCGGAAAATTAACCAGTGAAACTGTAGATTGTTTCTTTTGTATAAAATAATTTAATTCTATGTGCTGAGGACGAGTGACAGGACAAGCGAAAGCAAAAGTATATGCGTTAACTTTCTGTCTGTGTGAGTGTGTTTGCGTGTGATGTTGACCAACAACACCACGGATATCAATTTACCAGTGATAACAAGTGTAAATATTTATGATAGAAATTAATTAAAATTCTGACCACAGAAATCATTTGAAGCGGAGATGTTTTTGTTGAGTGTGTGTGCTATCACTTAATTACTCGAGCTATTGACAACAGTGGAAAATTACACGAAAGTGGACATCCTGGTTGATTGGTAAACATAAAGCAATTATAAGCATTGCTTTGGTGAGTGCATAATTTCACACGTTGCTTTATTTGGTTTACAACGGCATCTAAAAAAAATCATCGATTCCATCTCTTAAACAATTAATAACTATTTAGTTTGACGTTTGAAGTTGTAGCTTTCCCGGTTGGGATTTGCAATCCGTTCTTATTGTGCACATTTCGGCGAATCAATACTTTTAAGGTCAATAACGGTGCCGGCCACGTCCTTACGGTCATCGAGGAAGGGATAGATTGTTAGTTCCAAACCTCTCCTAGCAGTTTCTATCGACTATCCCCGTAAACCCGCTGGCTTCCGACTTTCTCTAGAAGTATCGTATAAACTACCTTAGGAAGTTTTTTTCCGTCTTTTCCAGAGAGTTCCTTAAAGATTCATTTGGAAGTATCTGTCGAATTCTCCAAGAAGTTTCTTTCGTCTTCCTCTGGAAGTTTCTCCAAAAGCTTTTTCCGGAGGTTTTTTTCTGACTTCTATTTGAAAGATTATCGAAGCTTCTTCTGGATATCCCTGGAATGGCTTACGATTTACGATTTCTGGCTTTCTCTAGATGTTTCATTCAATTTTTTCCGTAAGTTTGAAAGTTTTCTGGATTTTTTTTATTTTTAGTAGAAATTTCTTCAGACATCCTCCAGACGAGCCATTTTTTACTTCCTCTGGAAGTTTTTTCAATCATTCCCCGGAAATTCGTTCTGACTTCTGCTGGAGGTAGATTTTTCATTGTCCAAGAGTCCAAGAGTTTAAATTGTTGCCATAAAAATATAAAATTACCTAAAAAAGTAAATACTGATAAATACCAACTTTTGAATATCTTTCAATCAAAACAAACTGACAACGCTGGCCCTGAAGCTATTGGAAATTTGAGTGCATTTGTACATAAGGCAGTCCAAATTAATTCAATCTGTTTGTACCTGTTGAGTGCATCACATTGTTTATCGGCAGGCCTATGTATGCACCGTTAGAATTGTTACAACGATCCATAACATATTGAATAAACGTTCCATTCAAAACATTCAAATAATCCATAAAATATCCGAGAAAATCCCTACAAAGTGTGGATGATCCATAAAAAAATCAATATAATCAATATGTTATGAGAAATTTAGCAACACATCTGTAAAAATGTACCGGTAAATTTCTAAAGAATGCGCATTGAAATTGTACGAATTGTACGAATTATACATAAACATATTTCAATTGATCCATAAAACATTCAGCAATGAACTATAAAATAAAGAAAGTGATCCATAGAAACTCAAGTTTGCGCACTTAAAAAATATAGGCATGATCCATCAATTAGACGTATATTGTTCATGTTTAGGATATCATTTTTTAAATGTTGATCCATAAACATTGAAAAATTGTTAAACTGCGTATCTACTTAGATTTGCTGTCCTGCCCGTTTTTTTTTTTAGGTAGAGGTGCGAAGCGACGGGTAAGCGTCTAGAATTCGCATCCAAAAGAAGTTTCTATAATAATATTCTAAAAAGCTTTCTATGGAAGCTTCATTTAGAAACTTCTTTAAGAAGCTTATTCTAGACGCTTGCCCATCGTTCCGCTCTTCTGATAAAAAAAAAAGCGCGTGCGGAACAGTAAACCTGCGTAGCTACGCAGTAATGTATCAATTTTCCAAGGTTTATGGATCAAATAAAAAAAAGGGTCCAAAAGATGAAAAACATATGTATATCCCATAGACTATAATTGGAACACACCATAATAAGAACGTCTTCCAACCAGTGTTGGCAAAATCAGAAATCTAATGTTATTTTTCCGCTCTCATGCGCTCGCAATATCACGCGTGATATTGGAGCAAAATATCATGCTTGATATTGATTTTATAAGCTCCTTTGATTTTGCGAGACTATTCACAACGTGCAAAATCAAGCTGAGAGTTGAGTCGACAAAAAAATGAAGACCAACAATTGAAATGGCCTCAACTTCATTTTGTAAACAAACCTTGTAAAGCCATTTTCCCGCGAACCGAAACCTTCATTCGGAAACCTAAGCCACAATCGGGTAGAGGAGGATTTCCCTACCTGTTCATTATGTTGGTTTGCCTTTGCGGACTTCGGTTCGCGAGAAAATGGCCTAACAAGGTTAGTTTACAAAATGGAGTTAAGGCCATTTCAATTGTTGGTCTTGAAATGATTCCATTGCACATCGTCTTCTTAGAAAGAGAAAGAATAGTTTGCTATCTCCTTTTAATCTTCACCGATGGCAGACGCGAAGGGACTGCTGCAAGCCGTTATGGAAGTTTCGGTTGCATTCGGGAGCAAAGCAAAAATCATTAAACTCACTCTCACCACAGTTTGGTGAGATTTGAAGTGGGTGAGTATTGTTAGCTTGATATTCCGAGCTGCGATATCACAGCTTACAAAAGCAACCGCAGTTGTTTGATTGTTGATTTTTGTCTACGAAAATCAAGCGTGATCTTGGCCGTTGTTGAGATTTGATTTTTTTATATTTTCCCAATACTGCTTCCAACAACTGGAACACATACCCTAGGTATGATCCATAAAATTAAAATTTATTTTTCATATTTTCTTAAGAAGATTATTATAAAAGCTTCTTGTGGAAGCTAATTCTAGACGTTTGACCATCGCTTCGCACCTCTACCTAAGAAACGCCATAAATCTATGCAGTAATGGAGCATTTTTCCATGGTTTGTGGTCAAAATTAATAAAATAGTGTCCAAAACGTGAATAATATACGTCTAATTTATGGATCATGGCTGTTCGGAATATTGGGATAACCCTGTACCACCAAGCTCGCTGCCAATCCCAGCGATAACCCTGTGGGATATTCGGAGAGGTACGGTAACGGTCGCTGTCAGAAATGACAGACGTCAGGTTTTGTTCAACGGAACTGTGAGTTTAGATAGGTCGGAGTAAGAACGAGAAAAAAAGAGGAAAACAAGGTACATTTCCAAACCATCTAGAACACGTTTTACAGCTAAATTAAGTTAACAGCCTAAATTTGTTACTAGACCTATAGTTTAATTAAATTGTAGTGATTTGTAGTGAACTAGCTACTGAAGTAGGTTAGTTGGAGGTGGAATTCGTGAAAATATTTATTTTAATAACCCTATATTTGCTTAATCTAGATACTAAAATTTGATCCAAAAATCTGGTAACTTACAATTTGTTCCTAACTGCTATATACTTGATTTGCCCTAAGTAAATAGTAAGTAGCTCATTCTACATCGTTTCCGTGCCTAACTAAAATAATAATTGAATCCCTAAATCCTAAATCTAGCAAAATCTTTGTTGAAAGAGTAACGGAAGATAACTCTCGGTTTGAAAAATCTCCCGCTCAGCCTCCAATCGCTTTCCGTGCTGCTGTAACTGGTCCAGGGGTTCCTCCAGGCTGACCTCATTGGTACTTCCTTTCCCAGATTCAGATCCGGCATCACTCCTTGCATTATTCTTTCTGCTAGGTGGTTTCTTTGGGACATACTTCTTGGTTCCTTTTGCCACCTTCAGCATATTTGTGCACATCGAGCACGTCCACGGAACCTCTTTTACAGCTATTGTCTTATCAGCACAAAAATAATGGGTCCAGAAATCGCAGACATCACACTGGACCATATCATCTACGTGGTCATGGCCTTCACAAAGCGTTCATTTTCGATCGCTGTTCTGTTCTTCACTCAATGGTGGTGTTGATCCCTCTGACATTTTGAGGTTATATTAGATGTTGTTCTTCAAGAATGTTCGGAATAATGAAAGCAACTTCCTCAGAGCAGTCTCGTTTTGGACACCTTGAAGCTGAAATAGGTTTTATTATAAGCATTAAGATTGAGAGTTGGTTGGAAATGCTAACATGAAGCTTTAGTGTGATGATTTATTAGCTAGAGAATGATCTTTTTAGAAGAGTGTAGGTGGATAGTCCCCGCGTACATCGTACGGGCTAGGCAAAAATGTGCGTCTATCTTGAAAACTATCGCTTTAATGGCCCTTCGCTCATTTTCAACTTCTATTCAATTTTCATACGGCCGTACTCTAACGGAACTATCCACCTACACTCTTCTAAAAAGATCATTCTCTAGCTAATAAATCATCACACTAAAGCTTCATGTTAGCATTTCCAACCAACTCTGAAAATCGTTAACTTCGCGTATGAAGTAACATAAAAAACACTTTGAACATTAAGATTGGTTTAGATTTTATATTAGTTTAATAAAACCTAAATATTTTTAAGTGTGCAAACTTGATTTTCTATGCATCACTTTCTTTAGTTAAAGATTCATTTCTTTTTTCCTTTATTTGTTTTTCGTCCATCTTATTTTCCGTGCTGAGCACCAATGCTACCGACGCCAGAGAGGCAGCTCCCACACCTGGACCCTACCTATCGACCAACCCATCAACTCATGAACCGGGGACGGCTTTACTTCCCTCCGAAGGAAGACGTGATCTGAGATGTTATGCCTCAGAACATCCCGGCGGCGCCGACTGGTATTGAACCCAGGCCTGCTGGGGTGAGAGGTAATCACGCTTACCACTACACCACCAGCGCTGCTATATAAGATATTATGATTATGATGATATTTTGTATTTGTTAGTAGAAAGAAGAGTTTGTAAAGTTTGTGATTCACTCATAAAACCAAACGATTTCACTCATTCTTTTTCGGGAACAGCGATCCGACGATCCGAGCTTCTAATCTCTCGAAAAACACAAGTAAATGAAAATTGAAACATGTTCTAGAACATGTTACATTTGATATTAATTTCAATTTTCAAAATATACCGTAATGACTCGAAATTCAGATACTTGGCCCATAAATACGAACACTTGTAAAAGTTCATTATCACTGCCTACTATGCGCAAAAAAGCACGTAAACATGTTTTAGGATCGATGTAGTTAACCGACCGTCCAGT